AATTTAATGTCTTAATTTACAATAGTTTGGAGAATTTTCTCACCATTTTTGTATAAAATTTATACATAACTGATAAAATTCGAGAAAGTATATTATATAAAGGAATTACCAACTTTGCCCCAATTATACCTATCTACAATAATTTATGATTTATATGAAATAAAAAAATATGTGTAAAAAATAACCACACATCAACCGGAATATACCTACAAAATTCCGAGTATAGCTCAGTTACCGACGGATAAGCACCAATTTTTGGCATTTTATTAGAGTTGTCTTATTTTGTTGTTTTATTTGTGAACAAATATAAGTTTTTATATAAAATATTAATTTTGTGCATTGTTTTATCTATTTAACTTTAAATAGTAAAATGGTCAATGCACACTTATACCACAAAAGTTGCGTTGATTTAAAACGGCATATTTTTGGTAGTTTAAAACTCTTTTAGGTAAATATTTGTTCAACAAAATACACACGAATGGATTGGTAGTTTTGGTTTATCTCTGTAACTTTGAGCCCCGATCTCTCCACCTAAAAAATTCCGGAGAATCCAACAAAACGGCCAAATTGAATAAACCTCCGAATTATTGTTATTAATTCGAGATTTTGCCGTTAATGAAACGTTTTTACGATTTGAGAATATAGGTATTTTCTCTATGAGATAATTAATTAATTGGGGGAACTTTTGGTTAATATTATGCAAATTGGAGTAAATATGTGAATATTTTTTTCCGGTTTGAGTAAGCATGGTTCCCATCGACCCCCCATGTTAGCAGCTTGTTTGTTTTATTGGCTCCGTTGAGTAAAAGCGATAGCCAAATGCCAAATTACCTTCTCTAAATTTCAAAGTAGACGTTGAAAAGATTCGACGAGGGTTCGAAACGCCCTCACCGCCCGTAATCCTAATAATTTTCGATTAAACACTGTAATGAGGATGGCACACATTAATTATTTCGGTCGGTACCTCTGGCCATAATAACTCTCCGAACAGATGTTTTCGTCTATAGCTCGACGATTCGGGCAATTTTCATTTTGACACTCTTATCGTGTTTGTTGTTTTTTTTTTTCTGTGGCCATCTGCGTGCATGTCTGGTACTCATCTTCTTCGGCGTCGATCGGTGGTATCGAGTTATTGCTGATTGATTCTCGAAGCCGTGTTTTACACGGTCGGCTTGTTTGTTCGAGCCACCATCATTAAATTATTCCCTCCCGCGACCTCTTTTGTTGTACCGCCAGATATAAATAAGGAGTTGGATGCTCATACAGAGTGAATTATGATGCCCGAAACGCATCGTGCACACATAACAAGTACGCGTTTTCTCTCCTCCGCACGATCGGTTATTGCCCATGAGGAGTTTTTCCTTACCTTAATGGATACAATCGTGAAGGAGTCATGCGGTGTGTTTGATGAAGTATATGGAGATGACGACGGTTTCCTAACTTGAAAGTTTTCAGCGGTAGCGAAGCGTGATGGAAAGTTTTTATTTTATACTCCTTGGTACTAAGATTTACTGCATTTTACCTTTTTTCTCTAGTATAAATATAGCATAAATAATGAATTTTAAAAAATATGTTTTTATTTGCTGCAATTCCTTTTAAGTTTATTTTCTAAATCCATATTCATTTTTTTTAGATCTCAAATATTTCAATACGCTTGTAAGTAGTTGATTATTTGCACGTATAGTGACATTAATATGATGATTTTTTTAGTTTTTTATCTTAATAAATTGTGAAATTGTGCAAATTAAAATTACATTAAAGACATTTCTACATTTTTTGGCTCAACTGGGTTGATCACAAGAAAAAGTAAAATCTGAAATTTTGAAATCTTTTCAAACTATCCAAAAGTGACAGTTTTTTTACAGGGTTTCAGTTACCAGGAATTTAACAGAATTCATTCAATCATCAAAATTAAATTTTTACTTACCTACCTATACAGGGTGCGCCAGAACTCAAAGAAAAATGCCATATAAGGTAAGACAGAAAAAATGTTAAAAAAATTCTCTCTATAAAAATTTTGAAGTTATGAGAGTTTAAATTTTACACTTTGACTTTCTGTTGGAAAAATAATTTTACAAGTTTTTTTTACTACAGACTATTAGAAGAGGAAACAAGGAAGCTGTATCCTAAATTGTAACTCTGTTAATGTTACTTGTGGCTTTTATTAGCAAAATTTTTGTACCTTTAGTAAATAATTGTAAAAAACATATACAAGATTTTCAGTATCATTAAATAGACAAAAAAAAATGTCAAATGTCAAAAAATAAATGTCAAAATGTTTTTGTCAAATAGAATTTTTTAAACATTTTTTCCATGTTTTTGATATGTAATCTTAATTGAAATTTTTTCTCTGAGGCGCACCTTGTATTTTTTGCAGTTTTTGAATATTATATTAGTAAAGAAGGATAGTATAGGTTACTAACTGCAATTATTGCAGAATAAAATTACCTACCTTGTCCTAGTGTCCTAGACACATCAGAAATTTGATTGGCAAATTTTCATTATGGGTGAATTAAATCTTTACACAATTTTTGATCAATGTGAAGGATTGTAGGGAGTTCCAACTTTATTATAGGTTTAAATATACTCGTACCTATAACATTGAAATTCAAGTTTTACAGAATTTTGGAAATATGTATATGTATATTTTATAGGAAGAAACATTTTTTTATTTGTTATACACTCACCGGCAAAATTATGGCATCACATGGGAAAAGTGATTTTTTTTTTGAAATAACGCTTAAAAAAATAATTGCATCAATTATTAATTAATTAACTAATTAACGTTAAATTAAGCTAAAGGTACGACTAAAACTTCAACAATTAAACTACAATTTAATTATTATCAAATGAAACAAAAAATTGAATTCCGTGCGGATCAGTTCTTTAGCTTAGATAAGCTTTTCTTACATTCGGAGGCAACCATTAATACCTAGCATTGCCTTCTCGAACTTGGAAAGAGGTTCAGTTTTTTATTGTTGTCTCTCGGAAATTAGCGGTGATTTTGATAATTTCACATTTATTCAGTATACAATGAATCTACACCAATTGTTTTTGAAAAATCCATAATCGACTGAGTTAGTTGATGATACTTCTATCCTTTATCATCAATTTTAGTACTATGTTCAGAACCATTTAGCCATTTTAAAACTTAAAATTTAAGTGATGCGATAATTATGCCGGTCAGTGTAAGTTATAACATATGAAATGATTTTGTCTAAATTATTTACTTGAGTATGTAGTGCATTTTTTTTTAATTAAATTTGTATTTTTCATTGTTAACATACCTACTGTGTGTATAAATTTTAATGCTTACAAAGCATCAGTAATTTTAATTGTAAACAGAGCTTGTATCATTATTGCATTTATATTATTTGTTTTAGAATTCATGAAAAAAGACTTTTTTAAACCTGTGTTCAAAAATTAAATTTCAATTTTTATTTTTTTTCAATTTTGTTTGTCGTTTTTACACAAACGGAAATTCTACTATCGTTTTAAACCAAAACTTTTTGTTTTCTAACTACGTAACGTATTCGTAAAAAAAAACAAATCGAAAATAATATTGGCATGCAAAATTGTTGTAATTTTTATAATCTCGGAGTGTTGTTCAATAGTTACTTTTGTTATAAGTGCATAAAGTACAGTTTTTGCGGACGAATCGTTGCTGTTTCCAGACGAGGCTAAGCCGACTCTAGAATAGCAGATGAGTCCCCAAAAACTCTATTTTAAGTACCTGTTACAAACAACATTTTTTTGTAAAGCTCCCGAAATCCGAATTCACACCTCTTACTAATTAATTGCTACTATAGTAACCAATTTTATTTTTTAGTCCGGAAAAACTGTTTTTGGGGACTGAGTACCTAAAATAACCATTTTGCGTACTATTTTATTGGAAAAGACTCATTTTAGGGACTCAAATGAGTCCCTAAAACAGCTGTTTTCGGGAGCCTATACAAAAAAAAAAATTTCTAGACGGTTTATGGAAAAACTTTAAAAAGTTTAAAATTTATAATCGTAGTTAAATTGCTATACAATTGTAAATTTTTTATGCATTTAAGGGTTTTAAACTGACAAAGTGATAAATTAATATTAGAGATTGTATTAATAAGTTTTGAGAGATGGTTGGGAATTTTTTGAAATATGAGTTAATTTTGTTTTTAATTAATTTTGACTCTTATGGAATCCCAAGTTCCGGCCAGAACATGTGCTTTATATTTGGTAAAGCATTTACTAATTACCTCTGGTAATTTGAAAATATTTCTATTTTATTGCTAAAAAAGCACGATACGTGTGAGCCAAATGTAAAACGTACAATATCCTGACAGCACATAAATTAACGTTAGAGTCTAATTAGATATATCTATATTCTAACATTTCCAGATAAATATTAGATAATTTTAATTAGCTTTAATTAATTTTTTCTACGTGGACTATCAATTTGCAACCGTTATCTATCTTATCATTATTTTTCGGTAAAATACATCTCTGAGGGAAAACACAACCGCTTTGATAATTTTATTCATAAATTAATGTTTTAACCAGCGGCTGGCTTGTAATTCTATTTATTTCTATAAATAGATTTTTAAAATAGAGTCGCTGAAACCAATCTCATGTATATTCATTTTGACCCTTTCAACGATTTTTTTTCGTCTAATAGAGGCGTTTCACTTTTTCCGGTTGTCGTGACCGCCCGAAAATACAACACGCAACAATTCGATTCATACAACGATAAAAACTCATTTCAGTCCGTCATGAAGCTAGTTTTTGATCATTCAATTTCCTATTTTTAAAAGCGTGATTACAAATAAAAAAACTATAATAAATTATATTTGTGGGACGATCATAAAATTCTCGACAAATTATTTCGGGTACGTGATCAAAATTTATTAATCATAGTGGCCAATTTCGGTAAGAAATTCTTGTCGCCTATTAAATAAAATTGTTTTTCGAGTCGAGTTTTACGACCACCCACCCGGGGCAGGGTTAGGAAAACGCGGGCATTAGTTTCGCTTTTTTATTAAAAACATACCAATAATAATATATTTTGTTCTCTTAAGCGGTAAATCACAGTTTGAGAATTCTTCGTAAAAAACACTAACACTACAACTTTTCAAAACACCTAGTGTTCGTTAACATCTCTCGGGTGAGTCTCCAGACTTGTTTCGCTGCATTTTCGAGTGCACTCGGCGATTTTCCTTTGAACAAATCGAGGTTTGGTAGGAAGTAATGCGGACACCTTTTGCACTGAAGACACGAGATTAACTGGAGGAAAATCCCGTTGATTCGGTCAGCGATACAAGCCTCGTCCCATTCCGTTTCCCGGGGGTGTTTCTCGCATTCGTACAAGAGGAGGGTTTTCATGTGATAGCTGGTGACGGGGTTACCGGGCAAATCTAAGTGTCTATCTCGGAGGGTTTTGAGGATGCTCAAACACCGTTTCCGGCAGCCGCCTTGTAATAGGCGATTTTCCGCCTCGATGAAGGAGAGGACCCAAGCGTCGCCTTCCATCGCGGATTGTTTACCTTGCAACGCGATGCATTCTTTGGACAAAAGATCGAAACCTTCGGTTTTGACTTCGACGACGAGGTTCGGATGCGGCCAGGGAATCTGAGGGAGAGGCCAATGAGCCGCGGATCGGGGCCATAAGCCGGCACATTTGAACGCCGGAGTGATTTGGACGATAAAACGTTCGCGAATCCGGAGTTTGACTTCGGTGGTGTCGGCGATCATCTTCACGGAGTCGCGATAAGAACACTTATCACAGGCTTGGGCCACGAGAGTTTGGAATCTGGAGCGCATTTTCCGGGCTGATAAATACCCAGAAGCTGTGATAAACTCGACCCAGAGACTCATCGAGCGTTTCCTTCCGTCGCTGAGCTTGAGGACTGCACATCCAGGTAAAGTTCCATCATCGACAAAGTTGAGCACTCCCATCTGATTGAGATATATCACAACTTCGAATTCGACCGGAGAAATGACTTCCAAGCCATCATAACGCCCGTTATAGTCCGTCAAAGATGAGATAAATCTCGGTTCTTGCACTTCCACTTCTTTGAGGACATCCTGGACCACTCGGCACACTTCTTGTATTGTTTTGCTGACTTGTAATTTCCGGGCTTGAACTTTTTCCGTGTAGTATTTGTTGAGTTGGTAGACCATCTTGGATTGTGCCGCCAGCATGTCAGGCGGCACCAGCATGTCGTCGTCGAAGAGTTGTCGGCTACTGGAGCCGCGCCGATCATCCGGAGCCACTTTTTCGATGGGTATTTTTTCCGGGATGAGGATGATGATGGATCGACGATGACGAGTCGTGAGACACTGAGGGAAAACGTTGTTCAGTTCAGGTAAAGACACACCCAAAGTGGAGGGCGGGAAGTGGAAGCGCCGCCTATTCGTGTCGGCCAATCCGCAAAGTCCGGGGATTATTTTATGAGGCGATTCGGTTAAATGGTGCTTTTGTAAGCGGCGTTGTTGAATTTTGTGTTGACAACGGATTAATGGACGAAGATGGGTGCGGCGGGGGTGTATGAGGGGGTTAAATCCGGGTTTGATGAGTCCGGGGTTTCGAAAGTTATTGAGGGTGTGTTTTAATTTTGTTTTGTTATACAGACATTATTTATGAATGGGGGTTTCAAATAAAATGAACCACATAGTTTTCTAAAAAAATGTCATGAACAGTTCTATATATATATTTTTTATTATGCACAACTTATAGAAATCTTGTTTTCAAACTTATATTTAATTTTGGAGAACTCTCTTCTAAATATACAAATCTTATTATTTTTATTAGGTATTTATTCGAACGTCTACGAGTATTACCTACTGTGACTATATAGGGTGTTTCTTTTTATTTTTACAAATTTAAACAGGTGATAGAATATTCAATTTTAAAACAAAAGTTTCCTATGAACATGTATCAAAAAATGTTACATAACCGAGCTACATCTGAAAAAGATGCGTTTTTTAATGGGGTTCTCCGACTATTGCAGAATAGATAAAATTACAAAAGTTGGTACCTACAGCTGATAACTTTTAAACACCTGAACGAATTCAAAGATCAATTGTCGGAATTTTTAATCACAGGCGTCTTAAACGGTGAAACAAATTTAATTTTTAATTTTTATACAGGCTGTATTATGAAAAACGCCCCAAGCCATAACTCCATTATTTTTAAAGTTATGACAATACTTCTTAGAACAAAGTTGATCATTTTTTGTCATCTAACGTTTGGTATAGATGCTAAATTAATGTTGTTTTCTGTTTCACCGGAAATGACATCAACTTTTTTTTTAATGGAACACCCTGTATATTTTACCACTTTTGGATTCTTTGTTTAATTGTCTTTTAACAAGTTTTAGTACCATGTGCCTAAAACCAACCGTTCGTGAGATATGAGTCAATTAAAAATTTATTAAAGTAGGCAGTGGAAAACAATAATATTAAGTAATGTTGACAAACATTATTACTTTGCATTTTCCTTTATTATTTTTATACTTTTTGCTGTTCTGGTGATAATGTGTTAACAGACATGATTCAAGAATATTTTGAAAGCAATAAAAATAGTTGGAGACCACAACGCCTTTTTTACACTGGGCGGTTTCCAATAAGAGAAGTTCAAATTCGTCGACCTGAAGAAAATTTGAGGATGTTTGGGGTTTTTAGAAAACCCAAATTAGAACAGTTGCGTGCGATAAGCCAACGTTATTTGCAATTTCTTGAATTCATGTTCTTGCATTTTCTTCAATACCTATCTAATTATGTATCTCTTTGAAATTGGAGATGTTTTAATTTGGGTTTTCTAAAAGCCCAAAACATCCTCAAATTTTCTTTAAGTCGCTTCAATTTTCGACTATTTGGAACGTCTCTCATCAGAAATCACCCAGTGTAAAAACGTTTTATTCAAAATATGTCTGTTAACACATTATCATCCATGATTAACATTAAAAAGTATAAAAACAGTAAGAGAAAATGCAAAGGAATATTATTTGTCAACGTTACTTGATATTATTGTTTTCCACTGCCTACTTTAATAAATACATTATTTGGTGAATATCTCACGAACGGTAATTTTTAGGCATATGGTACTAAAACTTGTTAAAAGACAATTAAACAAAGAATTCAAAAGTGGTAAAATATACAGGCTTTTCCATTAAAAAAAATAAAGTTGATGTGATTTCCGGTAAAACAGAAAACAGCATTAATTTAGCATCTATCCTAAACGATAGATGACAAAAAATGTTCAACTTTGTTCTAAGAAGTATTGTCATAACTTTAAAAATAATGGAATTATGGCTTGGGGCGTTTTTCATAATACAGCCTGTATATTTAAGACAAATTGTAAACTGATTTTATTCAAAAACGGTAAGTTGTATCGAAAAAATTCAAGAGGCCTCTTTTTGTGAAAAACTATGGAATTTAGTACTTTGTGGCTGAAAGTGGCAAGAACCAACAGCCAAAATAGTTAGGGTACTTTTACCTTAAACCCCCCAGTTTATGACGCTTTTGAGTAAATATTTCGACATTTTATCTTTAAATTCGTTTGGGTGTATAAAGGTTATTAGTTGTACCAAATTGGGTAATTTTATAAACAATGGTTGCTGAAATATTTGAAAAAATCCATTAAAAGCTGCACCCCTTTCAATCGATGTAGCTCTCTTATTTAATGCTCTTCGATACATGGTTATAGGAATCTTTTATCTGAAACTGAGGTGTCAAGTAAAAAAAACAAACCTCTCTGAAGTTTGGTTGTGATTAGCAGAGGCGCATTCATATTTTTTGACAATCTTTTAGTTTTTTTTTTAATATCCTTGTTAAAATTGCGTTGATGATTTCTTCGCTTCCAAGCCATTGATCTCTTTAAGCGTGGAATCAAAAAATTAGAATCGTAGGCGTCAATGATATATTGGATTGATTTTTTTGTAAAAACAATATTATAACATGAGCTTAGTCCATTTTTGTAAAAAAATTAGTGTTTGTTTTGAATACATTGTTTTACAATAAAATCAGGGGAAAATTGACTTTTGACTTCTTTGGTTTAAGGCAACAACAAAAAAATCTTAAGAATTCTTCTCACCTCCAATTATAAAATATCGCCGCGAGAATATTGAAAATTTGGATAAAATACAATTAGAATTTTTTAAAGTTTATTACTTAATTTGTTATTTATATTTTTGGAGGGACAAGACTCCACACGTTAGAAAATCATGTTCTGTTTCTATAAGTTTTGTAAATTTGTCAGTTAATTTTCTGAGACCATGTATATTTTTTTGACGATAAAATTTGTCAGTTAATTTTCTGAGACCATGTATATTTTTTTGACGATAAAAATAACACGTTGGAAAATTCACCTAAGTTTTATAGATTTGTAACCTCTGTCTCATAATAGATACTTTTTTGTGATAACCTAAAATTTTTTTATTTTTTATTTTTTTGTATAACAACGGGTACAGAAAACATCAATGTTCTAAGAAGTTTAAAAATTATATTCACGAAAAACTTAAATTTCCATCTAAATAGGTAAAGTTCAAAAATTGTCTAAATTTCAAAAAATATATGTGGTTAAAATTTAATTTAACAAAATTTTGCATTTTTTTGACAATAGGCTTTCGAACCTTCACGAGAGTCTGCAGCTAATGAAAAGATGATTTTATATTTTTTATCTTAAAAATATTTAGTTTAATTACTTATAGTACTGTGATAATTACTAATTTTAGTCAGGTTTAATAATTTTTTACCTACAGCTTTCACGCGAGTGTGAACTTGAACTGCAGTTCTTAAGTAATTCTTCTTTCTGCTCTTTTTCTTAGTTTTTGTTGGAACATTTTTAACATTTGAGTAAAAAATTATATGTTAGATGTGTGTTTTCAATTCTTGACACTACATTTTGTAATGAAACATTTTTGAAAGCAATTTATTTATTTGACGTAAAAGAAATTCATTTAACTACAATTTTAAATTATAAAAGTTTTCTTTTATGTCATTGCATGCAAGCAAAGTTTACTTGTGAAACCGATTTATGAGCGTCTTGGGAGATTTAAGTTCCAAAAGATAAAAATAGGAACCATTTAGAAAATAAAACACTGTATAGCAATTTAAAAGAATGTTTATTTTTAATTCATCATTCGGACTTAACAAACAACAAACAAAGTGCTTTTTCTAGATAAATAGGAAATTGTACTTTATTCGAACCAAAAATAACAAAACAAACAACAACCAAACTCTTACGTTCACTCAACCCTTAGTTTTTTTCATTAGACTCTCAATTAATAATTTTACGATCAAATTTCTTATTTTTTTCTTGTCTTCCCGTGGATAACACTCACTAATATTTCGCGTTTACGATGTTGCCAGTCTTGTAATTAACGAAATATTCCGAAACACGAATCACAATTTAATGTTACTCGTTTTTTTGTCGCTAATTAGGTACAAACCAATAAAATTTTAATAACTTAATACGACACCGCGCAATAAATTCGATATTGAGGTAAAACCAATAACTATAAATCCAATCGAGAAAACACATAAATATTATGTTTGTATTAAGACATTTTATCGTAATTATACTTGAGAAATGATCGGTTTTTATTCACATACCCATATTTGATTTAATTTATGTCGAAATTTTCATTTATTATTGTATTAAATGTAGCAGTAATAAACTCGTCGTTTTGAGTTTTTTTCAAAAGAAAACCAGCGTTGAACTGTGTACTTAGCACTTGTTATGAATTATTAGACCTTGAAGTTATTTTTAATAACAATTTTCTTTTGTACATGTTCATGAATAAATGTTACTCATACATCATTCTAATTTATTTTAAAGTTTATATAATAACATATTCCAGGTATAAACTGCCGATTAATGATAATTTAAGGAGGGGCCTCTCACATGTTGTGTTTCTAATTAATCTTGTTCATGGCTTCAAACAATAATTCACGTCACATTTAATTCATTCGCGACTGTAGTTAAAAAAAAGTCAAAATCAATTTGATAATGTTTTAATAAATAATTTATAAAACATGCAACAAATAATTATAACAGTCTTATGGAAAATATTTACAAATAAAGGTACGAAATAAAATAATTAAAGCATTTTATACATCAAGTATATGGCACAGCGATGCGGGTTTTAATGGAATTTTTGAATATTTGGCCTATACTTGTTACAATTTTTCCAAACACCTGGTATTCGTTAGCATTTCGCGGGTGAGTCGCCAAACTTGTTTGGCGGCGTTTTCCAGCGCACTTGGTGATTTTCCTTTGAACAAATCCAAGTTTGGAAGGAAATAATGCGGACACCTCCTGCATTGCAAGCACGAAATCAGTTGCAGGAAAATCCCATTGATTCTGTCTCCAATACAAGCCTCGTCCCATTCTGTTTCTCGGGGGTGTTTCTCGCATTCGTACAAAAGTAATGTTTTGAGGTGGTAACTCGTGACCGGGTTTCCGGGCAAGTCCAAGTGTCTATCCCGTAGGGTTTTGAGGATACTCAAACAGCGGCGTCGACAGCCGCCTTGTAATAACCGATTTTCGGCCTCTAAGAACGACAAAACCCAAGCATCGCCTTCCATAGCCGATTGTTTCCCCTGAATCGCGACGCTTTCTTTGGACAAAAGGTCGAAACCCTCGGTTTTTACCTCGGCGACGAGGTTCGGATGTGGCCAGGGAATGTGGGGGATGGGCCAATGGGCCGCCGACCGCGGCCAAACACCGGAACATTTGAACGCGGGTGTAATTTGTACGATGAAACGTTCGCGAATCCGGAGTTTGACTTCGGTGGTGTCGGCGATCATCTTCACAGAGTCTCTATAGGAACACTTATCACAAGCTTGGGCGACCAGAGTTTGGAATCTAGACCGGATTTTCCGGGCTGAGAGGTACCCGGAGGCGGTTATGAATTCGACCCATAGACTCATCGAACGTTTTCGTCCGTCGCTCAGTTTAAGGACTGCACACCCAGGTAAAGTCCCATCGTCGACAAAGTTAAAAACACCCATTTGGTTTAAGTAAAGAACGACTTCGAATTCGGTTGGTGAAATCACTTCAAGGCCTTCGTACCGTCCGTTACACTCGGTTAGAGAGGAGATAAATCGCGGTTCTTGGACTTCGACTTCTTTGAGGACGTCCTGGACCACTTTACACACTTCGCGGATTGTTTTGGCGATGGTGCCCATTCGCGTTTGGACTCTCTCGCCGTAGTATTTATTGATCTGGTAGAGCATTTTTGATTGGGCTGCCAGCATATCCGGCGGCACTAACATGCTGCCAATGCCGTCGGTAATCGACTGAGCTACTCCAGGTATTTACAAAAGGGAGGTGGTTTTCATAGGCGTGGTTTTGGGCCGCGCCTTGCGTGAGCGCGACTAATCACAGCGCGCGCATCGTAGCATGGAGAGCGGTAATGGTATCGATCGAAGGCGGGGCTTATTGTACCCAAACTCCACCTCAATAAATGTCAATAGCGCTTAATCCGGGATCATGAAATGAGCAACAAAGGGTGATATGCCTTTTCGAGTGCTTGTAACAATAGTAACAATGGGTTTTGTGAGGCTTCTATGGGTTAGCCATGGGATCATAAATTAAGAGACGTGTTCGCACTTAATAAGAGGAGAGGAAAAAAGCCACTCAAGCCTGTCAGACGATTTGGTTACATGGATTAGACGAGTTTTTGTCATTTTTCTTTTCGAATGGCTTCATCAACGACAGATGGGATGGAACCACACACACGGAACTCATAAATCTGGCGCTAATAGTACAGAGGAAGTTGTTGGCAATTTGTGGATTGGAGGAATTGGCGCCTTTGGATCGAACTTAATTCGAAAACGGTGTTGTTGTGGCAGAGGGTAATGGGTTTCCGGTTGCATGGACACTTCAAAGTGTCAAACAAAGAAATTAAAAAGTGATGTAAAAGCCACTAAATGTGAGTGTAATATTCAGATACATAGTTTCAAATAAGTATGGATTTTAAAAATATTTTACATTTGTCTTATCAGGACGATTTATTTGTCATTTATTTATTATATTCGTTAGTCTTCAAAAATTGTACCAAAAATTGTCATGTCTTGTTTTTAGTCTTTTGAAATGAAAACAAGAATTCTATAAATAAAATTAGGTTTTCTCAATTTTTTACTAATGTTTTAATATTACATATTTTGATACGATAAATTAAGAAAAAATTAACATTGAAAATGGATTACTCAAAAACATTGTTAATTTTAGTCGCATGTAGTTAAATCTTTTACGGTTAACATTTTCGTTATTAATAAAAAACATAGAGAAAAAGCAATTGTAATGCGAGTACCTACAAAATTGTATTTTGAAATTCAATTATTTAAAAAAAATGCATTTATAAGGTAAATATTTTTCGTCCGCAAAAATTAAATGTCAATGGTTGATTAACTTATTAATTTTTACTTTCCTTACCCTATAAGGAAAGTATTGAATCGGCTGAAATTTGATCTACCTATATATTTTTACATTTCTGGACGAATTATAGCTTCAAGACACCAAAAAAGTTGGTTTGGGCCATTGGGTCGTGTGCGATGATACAGTGTCACGGAGGTGCGTAACTTTTCGGACACCTGTTTAAATAACTACACTGGCCGTCAAAATTAACCGGACAACTAAAATTTTGCGATTTTTCACATTGGAATATTTTTGTTATTTTTTGTCGGATTTCGACGAATTTTTGTTCGGCTTAAAACGAACTTTGCAAAACATTGTAATTTAATTCAATAACATTTTTAGTTTTGTCTTGTAAATGTTATACCTAAAAGACGAGAGCACCGTTTTTTTTACTTTCTTTTATACTGAGCTATAGTGTGCAACCACTACTTACTTATTACAGATTATTGGCCGTTCTTTTCTGAATGAGGACCAATCTGTTTCAAAATAGTATCTTTTGGTGCCCCAGAGGTACAAAGCATTGAAAAAGACGTTGCTTTTCTAATGTAACTAAATATTCGTTCAGAAAGTAGGCTACATAAAAAGGTAGGTAAACCGAAAATTATTTCTTATGTCACCAAAAGAGCACAAGTAAGTCTTTGAACACAAAAAATCTGAAAAACTTGGAAATTCAAAGGATTACAACAAGTTAAACGGTTAATTATTGGAAGCTTCCATGCGCCTATTTTAACGTTTTGACACATTCGGCCTACTTAATACGGATATTCATTGAAATTGGAAATGTAATGCTTTTTTTTTTCTCTCATGTCTCAAGAATTAAAATTATGGAAAATATGGTACATAATTTAGAAAAGAATGGGCAATATTCTGAAATCAGTAAAAACCTAGGTTTGTCTCTGTGGCACACCAGAACTCAGTATAAAAAAATAAGTAAAAAAACGGTGCTTTCGTCTTTTGAGTATCACATTTAGAAGACAAAATTAGAAATGTTATTGAATTAAATTACAATGATCTACAACGTTTTTTTTTAAGCCAAACAAAAATTAGTCGAGAAAAATATTACAATGTGGAAAATCGCAAAATTTTAGTAGTGTATTCTTCGTATTCTTCGAATTAGACTCAACAAGGCTTAAACTTGCTTTAAATCTGTTAAAAATAATTTGACGTTTCGTATTAAGAAATGCCAAACAGTTGTTAAAACTTCCTTACACGAGAGAAAAACCCTAAATTTTGACAGTGTCGAATTTTAATTTGGAGAAATTTAATTAGGTATAGCAGGTATATCCGTTTTCTTAACAAAAAATAAATATCGAAAAGGAAAAAATAGAACCTAAATATTTTCATGAACATTTTACAGAAATACACAAATTTGTATTTGTTTCAGTTTATTTAATATAAGAAAGGTGTTAAATCTTCAACTTGAAGGCATTTTCCTTCTTTTAATTCAATTTTATGTTCGTCTGTCAACCTATACATGTTTTTGTAAATTTGCAATAATTAATTGAGATACCAGTCGAGAAAGTATTTTCTGAAACATGTTGTACTTACAATAACTAAGCTTTACTTCCTGTTTTACCCTATTTATAAATACCTACTCTGCGGATTTCAAAATTTATTGTTACAAACAACACTATTCAAACATACTTACAGTTTTTATTAGTGACCAATAACGAGTGTGTTTCAAAGTTCAGATTTATTAAAAATATCTTGGTTAACGAGCCCCTCTGGCAAATGAATAAGGTGTCACATGACACAAAAGCCCCCCTTATTGTTTATCCGTCGTCACCCGCAAAACACAATAGCAAACCGCTCACCACCCCCCGAGTATAATCATCGATGTTACTTTACTTGTACAAATTACTCTTCTGAGCATCCCCTTATCAACTACTCTGAATTATCGTGTAAATCCATCCACCTGGATGCACCTTTGGGGGATTAGTGGTCGCGCGTCACCCACATGGTAGATTTCCCAGCGGCCGGGAGAGGATTCTAAAATGAAAATCCGATGCGTGCCACCCGTCATTTGCAGAGTGTTGCTTTATCTAGTCATTTATCAGATTTGACGTAATTTGTTTCGGAGGGATGTTGCCCTCGAACGTTCGAGGGGTCATTGCTATAAACAATCATAAAATTTTAATGCCGCTATAAAGCGAGTGTCGTTGGAGTCGTTGTTAATTATTTTATTATTTCAGCCGTATTTCGAGCGAGTTGATTATGGTAGCCGTTGGACGTTTTTTTCGCCGATTCTCATCGTTTGCATAAAATTTTATTGGACACCCTGGATGGTAAAGAATTTAAAATTTAACGTCCCATCCATTACGGCCGTCAATTAGCGTTAAACTGGTCGAAAGATAAAAACGTTTCGTCCCAGATCTCACATTAACATCCCGACCAATTAAATTTAATTTCATTATATTGCCAAGTCTCGATATCGTTGATGGAACAGTTTTTATTTTTTTCGTCGTCTTCGCGAGCAAATTGCCGCAGCTTTTTATCCGTTTGAGTTATATTTAAAACGATCGAAATAAATTACTCGAGGGCCTACCGTGCAAATGTGACGTTTATTTTATCGCAGTGGAGAAATTTTCAGAATTTTTAGTGTGACTCATGACGCATTTTATGCGTGCACTTTGATAGTAAAAACCATAGTTGGGTATGAATTATTTGGGAAGCTTAGCAGGCCCGGGATATGACGATTAAGGGATGATTTAGGGGGACGATGGGTTTGAGAGTGCGATAGAGCACGGCATGAGGGGACACCCCTCGATCAAATGTCGAGAGTACAAACAAAACAGAACTGCGGCTTGTTGAAATAGATTAGGGATTTAGGACCGGACAAGTAAATATTTCGTACCTATTGCGAATAAAATTACACTCAAATGTTTTTTTTCTATACTTTGCATAAACCTTGCAAAGTAGAAATATAAAAAATTACATCGGCTTTAAGAAATTTTTGAGAAATAACTCAGTATTATTAAAATTATGATAAAACCACGGTTTAGGCTAAATTCTTATTTTTTTATGCTTTTGACACTTTTATTCTACTGACCCGGTTTTGCATTATAACTGATTTTTTTGAATAGATATAATAATAATTGAAGAAAAAAAAGAAATAAAAAATTCAAAATTATAACATTTTCTTGAAAATATTATTAACGAAATAACAATATAGGTACTTTTACCTATAGATCCAGAAGATAAAAAAAATTAAAAAATTGTTAATTCGTGTCCGTATATTTTTTTTTAATAGGTATGCTTTCAAAGGAAGTTTGATTTGACTTGTACTTTTTATAATAATAGTAAACGAAACAAGACGCTTTATTTGTTAAAGTGAAACGTGTCAATCCTCCCAAGTCAATTAGGTACACTCTAATACTTAGATGAACAACATAGAAGTAGAAGAGTTTAAAAAATTGGAAAATTGCTGTTAATTCTATAAGCTTTGTAATTGATAAATTAAGAAAAATTTAACTTTTGAAAAAACAATTGAGGGCACAGAACATAATTAAAGAATTACATTTACCCACTCGAAAAAATTAATAAATGTTTAAAAGAAGTAATAATTTTATAAACAACAAAAGTGTAAAAATGTTATATTGTCAAACAAAATCTGAATAAAAATGCAGCTAAGTGCTTGTGTTTCTCTTACATAAACCTTCAAAATATCGCAAAGTAGAAATGTAAAGAATTTACTAAATTACTCCAAGAAATAATCTTAAAATTATAATAAAACTTTCGTTTTGACTAAAAAATTTAAAGTTTTCTTCATGGTATAAACTATTCGTATGTTTACTGTATGCTTTTGACACGGTTTTACTCATTTTTGAATATAATAATAAAAGTATGAATTTGTTTCAAAAATTATTGTAATAAAAAAAT